GAGGAGAAACATCAAAGTGACAAAAAGACGAGAGGGAGACGGAATAATGATTCACAGATTTAAAGGAGACAGATACAGAGGCAGAGAATAGGTAAGATTACTACTGTGGAAGGGGTCGGGTCATGGAAGTTTGAAGTCAGAAGTCAACTGCCGATCAATAGACTTTTTGCAAGTCAGAAGTCAACTGCCGATCAATAGACTTTTTTGTCTTTGAAGCTCAGAAGTCAACTACCGTAGTCGAATATGACATACAGTGGGGTCAGAAGTCACTGCCATACAATGGGGTGATGGTAGTTTGAAGTCAGAAGTCAATAGCCATATTAATAGACTTTTTGCCGTATGAGTATACGTTGCCCAGGGCGTAGGTAATAGACTTTTTTGCCATATGAGTATACGTTGCCCAGGGCGCACAAATAGATTTTGCCGTATGAGTATACGTTACCCAGGGGGTCATGGTAGTTTGAAGTCAGAAGTCAACTGCCGGTTTTGGGGTGATGGCAATTTGAAGTCAGAAGTCAACTGCCAGTTTAGACTTTTTTGCCGTATTAGTATACGTTGCCCAGGGTGCGCTACGTGGAGGTAAGTCTATCGCACACCCCGGCGTTGCATTATTGAGCTGTAAAATTAAATTCTGTGTCGGCCCTCCAGGTTGAAAGTATGCACTCTCACTATCATCCATTTGTTTCCGTGAGTGAAATTATTTCCTTTAATGACTGTTTGGTATCAATCCGCTATATTGCTTTTTTTAAATGATAAGTGTGCTATTCCTCTATTTTTCTGTACTCAGAAAGTCACCTTTCGTTCGTTCCATATGGTTTATTTTTAAGCTAGGCGTTGTCGATATCTTCACTTCTTCGACTATTCTGGCCTTTCTCCTCGCTTTATTTAAGCCATGACTTTATCATCCTTAGTCGTGAAAAATTTATATTAGTTCATGGGTTGAAAACTTCTTCATTGAATTTTTATCGGTCTCGTGATCCCTTCATCGAAATCTACTTTGTCAGCTACTTATACATGCTATGACTCTATTTCAGCTTGATCCAACAATTTTTTTAGACTTGGATGAATAGTGTGAATTTCATCTTTTCCTTTAGATTGACGATGACATTTCGGATGTCTATATGGATGCTAACGAGGAATCGCCTAATTCTGCTCAACCAGACAATGGTGTGGCCCCTCCTAATTCAACTACAGGTATTTTCCAAAACTGGGATTCCCCAAACACTCCTCTCTTAACTAATGAATCCTTGGCTCCAAACCCCTTGAGTACCTGGAATTCGACATTGAGCCCGTCCGTCTACCCACCGATTCCTGAGGCTTTCCCCCCTGAATGGGCCGAAGTTGTCGCGTCAGATGTTGTCCAAATGTGTGCTTCTACTGATGCTTCACAGCAGGAGAACGGTATATCTGATGAGTCTACGCCTTCTGTTCGACGTCTTTCTGATGCTTATGTCTCTGGAATGCCTGTCAAACGTCGAAGGATTATGTTGGATCGCAAGCATAATTTTACCAATTCAACTAATGACATGTTTATAAATTTGCTCAAGGAGGCGATGTCCTCCCAGATACCTATAGCTTCTCCCGCTGGACCGGTTGAAATTGAAGATGGTGGAGATGTAGTAGCTGCGACAGAGGAAGCAATGTTCCCTTTATCACAAGTTGCACCACCTCAACACGTGTCTGAGGCGTTCAAGGCATATGTTACTGAGCACCTATCCCGTAGGCTAGCAAATGATCCGGATTTCGATGCTGAAAGACATTCGGCAGCTGATGAGGTCTTCAGAAAACAATCCTTTCCATCTTCTTCCTCAGATAAGCGACAGTAATTAGCTGTTTGATAGCTGATAGGTGTTGCTCCTGCTTAAACCATTGTATGCATGTGTACCTCTATACAAATGTATGCGGATTCAGCACGTTTTTGTGCTTTTTCAATGTGCTTTAACTTTCTACTTCCTCGATAACTACTTTTGATGAATTGGGAATGCCATTTGTTTCCTTATTATTGGTGGTTTTCGATGATTGGTTGGTTCGCTAATCGTAATCTCACTTTTAGTAGTCTTGATTTTTTCTCTTAATTGATGAATTTATCTTGCCTGATAGATCTATGATTTTCTGGGTCTGGTACTTTGGTTCGCCACAATTGTCTTGGATCGAGGCTATATATCCCATGGTGGCTCTTATGAAAAACTCGTTTTAGCCAATTAGATTAGAATATGACAAATTGTGGGGGGGGGGGGCAGTCCAGTCTTGAGATCAGGGTTTCAGCATTTTTTCTGTTTCTCTACCTTTAAGATTTCAATTTGAGCTTACCTTTTAAGGTAAGTGATTGAATATTTCACATGTTATCTTTCAAAAACAAAGGTTTGCGTTGATATATACTTGTTGTCATTCAGTTAGAATTCCGTTTGAGCAAAAGGGAATGGATTGTGACGCTTAACTGCTGTTAGTTGGCATGGTCTAGGGTGGTTTATCCCCCGAATATCAAAATTTCGCTGTGCAGAGGCCTAAAGTCGGGAACATTAGCTGTTTAGTCCTTACAAAAACAATTTGTCGAAATGCGTGTATTAACGCCATGTCTTCTGCTTTGTGGCACATGAACTGAGGGCTTGTATATTATCGTTTGGGTGGAGGTATTCAGTGTAATATCCGCTTTGAGCCTCAAATCGCGACCGAAGCATTTGGTGTTCGGCGCTATCATGAGATGGGAATCTTCTCGGATGTCAGAAGAAATGGCGGTAATTCTTTCCGCTTATGGTTTAATTGTTCGATTTTACGAATTTTGGGACATTTTGAAGAAGTTTTGAACATTTTTTTTCCAAGTCTAAGAATTCTGTTATTGGCCCATGAAAGTAAATGTAAATGTGTTTATTTTAATAAGACCCGTGGTACCTAGGCTACAGGTTGAACAATAGGATCCACGGCTTTAAAAACTAGCACTGAAGAAAGGACCCTGGGGGGGGGGGGATGTTATCATCATCGCATTTGGATATTATTTTCAAAATTTATTTTACTATTTACTTCGGAATACTTTATCCACAGAAACAATCTCCACCCCCCTCCCCCCCCCCCCCCCCCCCCCTTGNCCCCCCCCCCCCCCCCCCCCCCCCCCAACCTCGTTGGTTGAATAGCCTTTCATTTGGAGCAATTATTTAAAAGTGCACATCCAGAATCGTAAATGATACCTAACATGATTTCTATGGTACACGCTATTGTACCTGACACGATTTTTAGGCCTACGTGACTCGGCAGTTTCCGAGTTGAGGTCAATTGCTTAAATTAACATTCGAACTCTATTTTACCTAAAATGCTAGTGGAAATAATGGTCTTTATTCGCAAAATGTTAGCGAATTAATAACGCTTATGTGACAAGGTCAACTGTACACCAGAGATTTGTTTTGAGTTTGGGGGGGAGGGGGGGTGTGCGATGGATTTACCTCCACGTAGATCACCATGGACAACGTATACTCATACGGCAAAAATGTCTATCAAACCGGCGGCTGACTTTAAACTACCATGATCCCACTGTATGTCATATCCGACCCTTTCCACAGTACTCACTTACCTTTTCTCTGCCTTTGTGCCTGTCTGTCTCTTTTACATCTGTGAATCTCTCTTCTGTTCCCTCCCGCAACTTTTTGTGACTTTGATGTTCCTTCCCACTTTGAGGCCCGAAGTCAACAAAAGGGCTAATGATAACTATCATAAAGCCTGCCATTTGAAATAAATAAATATTTTGGGTTTATGAAATCTCATCTTCATAGGGTGAGGCGCAATTTTTTTATTTTGTTAAAACAGTTTCTTGAAATTAGGTCAAAAGTTCTGTATTTTAATATGGCTTGCAATTGACTCCTTTACCTCAAATATGCGCGTTTTTGCTAGCAGAAATTAATGATTTTAAAAATCGTATAGTTGACATTTCGAAAATAAAGTCTTCAATTAAAATTATATGGTAGGCTGCATACGTAGTAATTTTGATTTACATTAAACTAAAAGCATCTAACGCGCTTGTGCCACCATCGCAATTTGGTTGATCACGCGTTCGAATCTACTTCTCAATAGGTTTCGTTAATTAAATTGAGAGCATTTTGAAATCAATCAAAATGTCTGGTTCAATCGCATCCATAGGGATATTATAAGCCACTGGAATCCTCTGGAGAACTTCCTGAGCAGCGGATCCCAACTCCTAAGGTGAATAATCATAATATTTATTATTTTATTTACAGATATAATTCCTTTTTGTTTTAAGGAAATTGCCATTATAAAAATATTCGCTTACTCTACAGTTGTGGAAACGACTGTAAATCTCCGTTAAAAGTGCTTTCAAGGTCGGAATAGCACTGAAAATGGCCTCTAAGATGGCATCTAAAGTGGAAAGTGATTAGCTTCTGAGGAATTTTGACAAATATTAGGCAAGTTGCACTTACCGTCTGCCATAATAGTGCTTATGAGTTTGATAAGGGTGCCTATGATTCTATCGTTATCATGGTGAATTGAGTAGGCTTTCAGTATCAAGGCAATTAGATTTTTCTCCTTCATTATGGCACCTGGACGCACGAATCGTAGAACTTGTTCAGCTGAAATAAAGTGTGGAAATTGATTGCTTGTATACCATAGCCAGCTGGAGCAAACTGGGATGCATTCGGACAAAATTCGAGGAGGTGTGGGTAATATTGATGATTTTTGCACGTATTATCTCTTTCAAGCTACCGACCTTGAAAGTTTGTTTGATTAGGCAGATTTATAGCTAGGTCCTATCTAATCACGTTGCGACCTCCGTAGTTCTATCTATTAGATTTTCCAGCCTTCAATTCTTCCTCTATTAAGACGCTATTAGCTAGTGCTGCAAATCATTTTACGAACTGCAAGGGCATGGGTCAGTTTGATTAAGATAGACATTGTAGTTTTTGTTTTTTAATTATAATCGACCGATCGAAAACGATTGCTTAAAGTGTTCTTACCTGAGTGGTTTATAATTGAACCGACGGTATAGAAGAGGTTATAACAAATTTCATTATACAGACAGAAGGTATCAAGAGAGTTCAGAAGCAAAGTTGGAATGTCATATTGCATAAGTATATCCTCAATCATCCACCCTAAAAGAAATAGAAATTCCTCATTTACTTTCGTTAGCCTACTGAGAAAAATCAGTAGCATATTTACAAACGCACTTGATGATGAAAGAGCAGTTAGACTCAGTGCCCCCTGGTTAATAATCTCGGGGTGTTTTGGCCAGTAATACATTACATCATAAACTAATTTAAAGGCATCCATCTCTAAAAACTTCTTGGAATTTTCCTCTAAACTTTTAGACTATTACTATCCATGTTACCATCAATGCAGAGTTTCCACATAGTCGATAAAGCGATTCGGAGAATATCTGGAAATCCGTCATGAACTTTCATTAATCCTCTAATAATCAATTCAGGGTATACCATTTTGAAAACACTTCGATATATGAGACTATATTTCGACCAATAGGTAAGGCGTGCTTCTTGAGTAAGATCATTTGTTCTCAGTGGGCAGAAAATAGCTTCCAAAAGAGCAAGAGCCCTTTCATGAACTTTAAGATGCTCTGAATGTCTTCTGGCCAATTCTGAGATTAGATTCAAGGTATTTTCATTCCAATAGATGCTGTTGTTGATTACTGCGTCACATATTTCTTGGGAAGTTGGCTGTTCTGCCCTTGAGGAGGGTGGGTCCGGAGCTTGGATCTTCATTTCACCAACGCTGGTGCAGTGGATGAGAATTTCAAGGCCATATTGGAAGATTTTTGGATTTTCATTGTGCACTAGAAAGACTTTCCAAGTGAGAAGTGGAAGGAAAGGATGCGTGGAGGCTCCATTTCGGCACTGAGTCTGTGCGATCCAATCAAGCACTCCCTCTACACAGTTTTCATGCTCTATTTTATCGCCAAGATATCTTAGGACTGCTGATAATCCTTTGTCGTAGGGGATATTAACTGAAATGAAGAAATCAGTAAATTTTATCGTCAGCAAAACTATATAGTGGGCATATAGCGCCAAGAGTTCGATTACTTCTTACCCCTTCAATGACAAGTAGTCTACTTAGCATTTCTGAGGAAATAAGCTTCCGAAACAACAAACTTTCAACACTCCTGTTCATAGGTCTCAAGAAAATGATAGAAAGTGAAATGGAAGAACTTTTCTCTATAGATTTGTGACTGCTAGCAAAAGCGACTATTTTAATAGCAAAGTGATTATGCGATGGACACTTTGCACGACGCTATTGGGTATTGTCAACCGGAATGAGGCATACGTACGACCCAAAATCGCGAGTGTGTATGGCAAAGATCTAATAGAGCTCCTCAGCAGGCAAGCATGCTTAGAAACTACTGAATGAAAGGGGTGCGCGATAGACTCTGCACCCTGGTCAACGTATACTCATACGGCTTAAAAGTCTATTAACCGACAGTTGACTTCTCACTTCAAACTATCATCACCCCTACTGTATGTCATATTCCCCTACTTCAACAGTACTCATCTTACCTTTTCTCTGAATTTGTGTCCATCTGTCCCTTTACATCTGTGAATCACTCTCTTTCCCCCCT